GTTTTTTTTTTTTTTTTTTTAAAAGAAAAAAAAGAAAGAAAGAAAAAACCCAACACAGACACAATCCAGCCATTGGGAGACGAGCCCGAGTCACGCAGATGGAGGACACTACCGCACGCCTCGCCGCCCCAAACACCGGGCTCCAGCCCCATTCCCTGACATCCAGGCAGGTGCAAAGCCCCTGCCTCCCCCCCTCTCCCCAGCCCCAGCAGGGCGCAGACGTTTCCAAAAGGCAAGGGCAACGGGGAGAAAAAAAAATCGTCTTTGACACGCACACAAACACCCCCGCCAGCCGCCCTCCACCCCTGCCGCCGGGACCCGCTGCAAAGCTCTCGGGTGGGCTCGGGGGAAACGTCGCCGCTGGCAAATCTCGGCTCCTGCCCGTTGTCACTTCATGTAAGCGGGGGGCGGCGGAGCAGCGCCAGCCCTGGGAAGCGCACAGCTGAGCCAAGGGGCAGGCAGCTCCGGGAAGGGAGGGACACAGAGGAGAGGAGCAAGGGCAGCAGCAGGCACAAGACAGCGGTGCAAGAGCCATGCCAAAAGAAACCCCCAAACCCTAAATTAAAAGGAACCAGAAATGGGCACAAGAGCCATGCCCAAAGATCCCCCCCATAAAACCCCAGGAGAAGGACAGCGCAGCAGCCAGAAATGGCTCCAAAAAGATCCCCCCATCAAGCCCCAGGAGAAGGACAGCGCAGCAAGCAGAGATGGGTGCAAAAGCCACGCCAACCCCCCCCCTAAAAAAAGAAAAATAAAAGAGGGGGAACCAAAAATGGGTCCAGAAGCCCCCCCTAAAAACCATCCCCCAGGAGGAGGACAACCCAGCAGGTAGAAATGGGTCCAAAAAGATCCCCGCTAACCCCCCCCCGGAGGAGGACAGGGCAGCAGGCGGAGACGGGTGCAAAAGCTATGCTAAATAAAAAAGAGGAGCCAGACATGGGTCCAAAAAGATGCGCCCTAAAAGCCCCCGGAGGAAGGCAGCGCAGCAGGCGGAGATGGTGCACACGCCGTGCCAAACAATAATAATAAAAAAGGAGCCAGACACGGCTCCAAAAAGCCCCCCCCTCAAAGCCCCCAGGGGTGCAAAAGCCACGCCACCAGCTCCCCGTGAAGAGCCCCCCAGTCCTGGAGGACAGCGCAGCCGGCAGCGACGGGAGCAAAAGCCATGGCCCAAAAGCACCCCCTGCCCTGCCCCAGAGCCGCTCCAGCCCGGTGGGACGCGGCGGCTCCATCGCGCCCCTGCCTGGGAAGCGGGAGGAGGCACTGGGAGCTGGGAGCACCTGCCCCGGGAGAGGGGGAGCGATATATATAGAGTCGGGGAGGGGAGCGGCGTCTCGGAGCCAAGGCCATTGGCACCCTCGGAGCAAAAGCAAGAATTAAAGGGTAAAATCGGGAGCAGCGGCAGCGGCGGCAATAGAAGCGGCAAGGCAATCACCTGGTCTCCGGGCTTTCCTAGAAACTCCTTGCATCACCACTTCTAAGAACCCCAGTTCTAAGAATCAACACAGCTCAATTCTCGGAATTTG